CCAGCCAGCCCCGCCCCCTGGTGGGCTGAGCTGGCCACACACACACACACACACACACACACACACATAAATAAATAAATAAAAATTAAAAAAAATTATTTAAAAAGAAATTAACAGCAATTTCAGGTAGAAGTGTATGCCTGATCTTAGTATAGGTCTTACTGCCTGTGTCCTCTTGAGCCCAGAAATAAAAAATTCTGTAAGATTTAAATTTGATTGAGGCTTTTGTTGAGGATGGGCTTTAACAGGATTCAGCTCTACAGTGATTTTTATGCTGTTTCTAGCTCTGACAGCCCCCTGGTGTCTTTGCTTTGGCTCCCACCAGGCCTGAAACCTATCCCTGGCTCCATGTTTGTGGTACCCTAGCACCTATTCTAAGGTCAAATATGATTGTAACTTTTATTTATAGGCTCAAAAGCCAATTGGGTCGTGATAGTTTTGGTCCTACTTATCAGCAGCTGGTGCCTCCACCATTTGATAACATAAGAGCAGCAACCATGTACGCCAAGAAAGGGCAGGCACATGCACTCTGCAGTATGGAAGGTGAGCCTAGCTCTTCATTAGTGCTGGGACAAAACTGCTGCTGGCCCCTCTGAGCCAGGGCACGCAGCCCATGTTCCCCACCAAGTCTGACATGACTTTTCGACAAAGCAGTCATTTGGGTTCTTCCCACCTCCCCTCTCCAAGCCAGGCCTGGTGGGAAGAAGTTGTAGGAACTTGGCCAGGGTCCCCTGGCCAGGGGTCTGTGAGAAGTTGTAGGAAGCTGAACCCAGCAGTTTCTCCCTATGCTGAGATTTTCGGCTCTTAGCTGTCCCTGTAGAGTCTGTAAGGATCTAGATGGATATATGCTGACTTACTTTGGCCCAAGCCTTTGAGATCAAACTAGTCTCTCCCCAGACACCTGTGGCAGTGGTGACTGACCAGTTTGTAAAGACTCCTGTGCCTGGGAAGTCAACTCTTCCCGAAGAGCCTCTGCTGGGAGCATTTGTGTTTCCTCTGAGCCTGAAGTAGGAGCTGCTGACTGTGAGCTCTGACTCAACACTGAGCAGACCAGATTCCAAGTTGAGAAAATTCCAGGGGAAATCGTTTTTCTTCTACCATGTGCCCTTGTAAGATTTTTTCCAATTATCTCCCAATTATCTGTATAGTGCCTGTCTGAGGAAACCATGGATTATCTTTGGTTACCTTTTGGAGCGTTTTTGTTAAGCCTTTTCTTGGCACAGGAGCCCCTGAGAATTTAGTGTGGCTTTTTCTAGAGCTTTCAGGCCAAACCAGTTTTTTTTCTGAATGCCTCTGGGGGTGATAACCCTGACACCTGAGACTGGGGCCTTTTGCAGAGAACTCCATAATAGAGCTAAAAGTCATCTGTGGTTTGCTCTGTGTTTTATTCCAAGATAATCAAACAAGCTGCTTTTCACAGATGGAACACTTACCCTTTTCTTCCTTGGGGAGAGCTTTAGCTCTCCCTCTCTTCCCCAGGTCCCCCTAGCAAAGTTTCTTCTTGTAAAAGCCTTTTGCATCTCAAACTCTTTTTACTGAGTGGACTTGACATGTTTAGGCTAACAGTCCTATTTCAGGTCCCTGTCCAGGGGCCAGTTATCAGGGTCTTGACCTAGCCCTGATCACTAAAAGATCACAGTGAATAGCTTAAATAAGAGACAGTAGTATGAACTTTGGAGCATCCAGGAAGGTCAGAGCTCTCTCTCTGGAGTAAGGATAAGAGCTCCACTGGACAGCCCATATTTATTTGCTTTTCCAACAGCGGAAGGGGATACTGAGGCAAGGCAGGAACGGAGCAGCACTGTGGGAGTCAGTTTAGAGACTTCCAAGCAATAAATTTTGCCAGTTAAGAGGACTGTTGGCTCTTGAAGGTTGGCAGCTTTATTGCTCCAGAATAGGAGTGTCAGCAGCCCATACTTCAGCCGCCTCAGCTGTGGTGTTACCTTGACTTCCAAACAGTGTGCATATGCTACACAGCCAGATGCCCTTGTGTTCAGCAACTTGACCCTATACACCATGGTCTCTGACACTTCCTCTTCCCTAGAAAGCCACTACTGTCATCACGGGGTCCACCCAGGCGCCCTCATTGAACTCTCATGGTCTCCCCATGAGGAGAAAAATCTCAAATATCATTAACATATGAGTTGTGTGGTTTGGTTTTCTCTCGTTTTGTTTGTTTCTTTTTTTTTTTTTTTTTTTTTTTTTTTTTTTTTTTTTAATAGTGCTGGAGATAAACCATGGCCTCCCACTGCACTGTATGCCTATAGCCCTTTTTTTTTTTTTTTAGGAGCTAAGTTTTATTATTACAAATATAATTACAGACAAGCAGACCATTTTGATATATGATAAAACATTTCCTGTATATAGCACACAAATAATACATAAATTAATTTTACAGCTGAACAACAGACTTTTCTGGCTGTACAGGGGCTGACCCAGGACCTAGGCACTGATCCTACATTCCCAGTCAGTTACTTATTTCTTCACTTATGTACTTACTTTATGAGACAGGGTCTCACTATGCAGTTCAGGCAGGCCTTGAGCTCACTCTAACCCAGGCTGGTCTCAAACGTGCAACAGTCCTCCTGCCTCAGCCTCCCAAGTGCTGGGATTATAAACTTATGCTACTACACCTATCTCTGAACAAATACTTTTACAAGTTAATACATTAAACAAGTTACTGCATCAGCTTATTAAAATTTAAATACATTTCTGAGCATGAGCTGTGAATTTCTTATTATCAACAGGATATTCAATTCCATATCATTTTCCTTGTTTATAATAGCAATACAGAATTTGTCACAGACTTAGTTTTTAAACAAGTCTACTGTATACAACTATGTAGTGGCTCTACATTATAGAAAATACATACAAGAACAGACTACATTAATCCTTGCCTATATCTGTAGGTGAATTGAAGCAGGTAACAACATTACAACATGGGCCTTGAATGACATTATGAATCTGAGCCAGCTGTGTAACCCAAGCCCTCGGCAGGCTGCCATAGGAGAACCACTGAGCTCAAGGCCAGTCTGAACTACATAGTGAGACCCTATCTCCAAAACAAAACCATTATGCATTTGACAATGAAAACTGTACTCTCCAAACTCAAAATGTTGATATCCCAATAACCTAGCCCTTTCTTAATTTTTTTCTTTTTTAGCTTTTTAATTTTTGGTGCTGTGGACCAAACTCAGGGCTTCCTGCTTGTGAGACAAGTATTCTATCACTGAGCCAAATCCCCAACTCCTCTTATTTTTTATTTCAAGGCAGGGTTTCACTGAATTGTCCAGGCTGAGCTTGAACTTGCAGTCCTCCTGCCTCATCCTCTCAGATTGCTGGCATTGCAGGTGTGAGCCACCATATCCAGCTTGGGGGTGAAAACGACCTTTTGGGGACACATTCAAACCATAGCAGAAGTGAATGAAGACTTCTCTAGAAGAGGACTTTTTTTGGTTTTTGTCTTTTTATTTTTTCTCTACTTTAGAGAAGGTTCTATAGGATGTTCAGAGTTTCGCTACTAGATCGGATTCACAGTGATCCGCCTGTTTACGGCCTCCCAAATGCTGGGATTACAGGCGAGCGCCCCCACGCCCAGTCTCAATTGCCCTCTCAGTGGGGGGTGGGGGAGCACAAGGCCGGCACCGCAGGCCTGGGGATTGAACCCAACCCCTGAGCCTGCTTGCAGGCGCTTTAATCCCCTGAGCTATTTAGCGGGCCATCTACAAGAGGATAGTTGAATACTGCAGGCAAAGCAATAGAGGGCCAGGCAGACAAGAGAAATGAGCAGCATTCCTGACAGAACAGCACGTACAGGATTGCAAAAGATCAGATTGGCTTAGCAGGTCTGTTCTGCCTTCTTTGGCGTTAGGCGCGTCGGGGACTCTGACTACAGCGATGGGGAAGAGGACTTCTACTACACAGAGATCAAGCTCAACACAGACTCGGTGGCAGAAGGACTGAGCAGCCTGGCTCCAGTTTCACCCTCCCAGTCACTGGCTTCCCCTCCGACTTTCCCCATCCCCGATTCGAGCCGAACGGAAACTCCATATGCCAGAACTGACACGAAGCTGATGACTCCGTTGAGCCGCTCGGCCCCCACCACCCTCTACCTCGTGCACACGGACCACGCGTACCAGGTGACCCTCAAGGGAAGGGGAGCGCAATCGCTGCTCCAGGCTGCCCGAAAGCAGAGGCCATGTGGCCCGGGAGTAAAGCATAATTCAGTAGTAAATATGCTGTGTCTCGGTAGCTTGGTTAGTCTTTCTCCTTTCTCCTAGAAAGGCCAAGATCTCACACAGAGGAGCGGGGGGGGGATGATTCTAAGATTTCCCAATGCCGGCTGTAATCTGAACCCTTACACGTTGATAAAAGGATTAAAATCCTTAATATTATAAATCTCAGAATAGTGCTTGGCACATTGTATCTGTTAAATTAAGAATAAAATAAATAACAATATGAGCCTTGAAAGTTCTGGCGCAATGAGAGAATGCCCTGTACCCCAAATCTAGAACTTTGTCCTACCCTGCCTCTTACATGGGTGGCCATGGCTTCCATTGACTTCCCACTCTGTAATGTCAGCATGCCCTGGAATCTGTGAGAAATGGAAATTGTTGGGGTCCCCAACCCAGGCCTCCTAGCTCAGGACAAGGAGTGGACCCCAAAGTCCTTTCTGTACCAGACCTTCCAGCAGATTCCGATTCTCATCAGAGTCTGACTTTGGAAACGAATCCCACAGATGCAGGGCACGGCTAAAGCTCCTTTCCCCCTCTGTCATTCTCCACTGTCTTATGCAAGTCTTTCTTTAATCTTCTTTATATACTTGAATTATGTTTTTCCATCCCTGTTTTATAAAACTTTTTCTGTAACTAAGTAGTAGCCAACCTAATTGAAACACCAAATTGTTTTAATCATTCTCAATTAATAGGTGTCTGGTTTTGGGTCTGTTCTGTGTCTTCTCTGTCATTAATCTACAATGAATACCTCCTGGCCTAAAACTCTTTCTTTCTTTAAATTCTCAGAAGAGTAATTATTATGCCAATTGAAACATGAGTGAACAGTTTATGGATCTTGCTATGTATTTCCAAAGGTACCATTTACAAAATTACTGTCACTAGGCAATAAATTTATAACTAGAAAAACTAAGTCTATAAAAGAATTTAGCCACCCACTTAGCTGGCTTGAACTCAAGAACAGAGGGGTAGAACGATTAAATTGCCTGATGTAATAAATTTCATTCCTGACCTTTTCTATGTTAGTCGAAAAGAATAATTCATTCATCTATTCTTGTTAGCATTGCTCTTGTGTCAGAAATCATGGTCTTAAAATTAAATCATTGTGTTCATCTGTATAACGAAGAGTTGGAACACACATTACGCAATCTAGAAAGTTCTTACCAAAACTTACATCCATAATATTACAACTTTGTTCTATATTTTACAAATATTCAGCATAGAAAGTACTAAATACATTTTAAGAAAGGAAAACTTGCTCCTAATCCTAATAAGCAGAGTGCCCTTTGGTTAATGTTTTTGTATGCCCTTTAATACTTTGCTTTATGTGTCTACAAATATACATTTTAAGGGATGGCCAAGTAGTTCAGGGGATTAAACTATCTGTAAGCAGGCAGAGGAGCCAGGGGTTCGATCCCCAGGCCTGCCATGCCAGCCCTGCCCCCGGGGCACACTGAGCTGGCAATTAAGACTGGGCGTGGTGGCTTGTGCCTGTAATCCCAGCTCTTGGGAGGGTGGAAACAGGCAGATCACTATGAGTCTGATCTCTAGTAGTGAGACCCTGAATGCCCTGTAGACCCTTCCCTAAAATACAGGAAAAAAAAAAATACACATTTTAAAAAGAAGAAAACTATTGCAACACCAGTTGTACCCTCTTATTCCCCATACTTAATCTTCCATGAGCATTTCTCCATGTCAGTAAGTCCTTTTAATAACATGTGAACAGCTCCTTGGGTGTATCATATGAGATACCTTTATCTTTTTCCCTATTACTGGACATTGCTATTGTTTTCAGTTTTTAATATCCGCTATCTGGTTCTGCAATGAACATCCTGGTACTCTTTCCCTGAGAGCAAATTCTTAGCAGTAGACTAGCTATTTCACAGAATGCTAAGAATGTTGATACGTTGCTAAATTACACTTCCAGAATATTGTGCCAGTTTTCACAGCCATCATTTTCCAGTTTATTCTCCAAGTATACATTTCCCAATTTAATAGTGAAGAATAGCTGATAGGTTTCATATGTATTTCTCCCCAGAAATTAATAGTCAAAAGCCATCTACTTTAGATTGCATATATACGTGCATACACACACACACACACACACACACATATGGGTTCTGTTTCGCGCTACTCCCCCTGATCCTGCTTAATCTCCACCTGGTAGGTAATCAGTCTAAGTAAGTAATGTGGCTGATACCACTCCTGAGGCTCCGCGTTGGTAGTGACATCTATGGCTCTGAGGACAAATGCTCCTTCATAACAGCTTTCTGTTTTCTTCCAACAGGCCACACCCCCAGTGACCATTCCGGGATCAGCCAAGTTCACGCCCAATGGCAGCAGCTTCAGCATTTCTTGGCAGTCTCCCCCGGTCACTTTCACAGGCATTCCAGTAAGTAGAAAGACAAGCCAGAATCTAGGCCAAGCCAAATGTAAATTTATAGAAAAGAAGCTCGAAACATGCAAGTCAGAATGCCAGAAGTTCTGTGTCTCTTAGGCAATATGTGTAAATTGATCCGCAAGGTATCTCGAAATCAGGCAGGCCCGGTTTTGACTGGCACTTTAGAAACTAGCAGAAAGTGTCAGCTGTTGATAAGTAAGTTGTTAGAAATATGGTTTGGTGTTGGTGATGTGTCTATATGTTTCCAAAAACGATGTCGAATAGCTGAACTCATACCTTACCTGGACAAGGTGGTATTTGTCATTATAACTTTATAAAATTTATTATTTTGAAATTATTATTTAGTAGGTATGTTCCTAAATGAAATTAGATCAGGCATGGTGGTGCACGCCTGTAATCCCAGTGCTGGGGAGGCTGAAAACAGGAGGATCACTAGGAGTCTGAGCTGTGTAGTGAGACCCTGTCACAAATACATAAAAAATAATCGTTTTTTAAAAAATAATTGAAATCTTCTTTCAAAGCCTGAGCTGCTCATGCTAATGAGTAATTTGAAAATAAGTTAGTGCTAAAACATGCAACCAAATTTAGAGTCCCTAAGAATTAACTTGACATGTTAAATGATTTCTGTCCGATAAATCACCATGAATTAACTTGATTCCTAACCACTCATTTAAAAATGTATTGAGTCTTTGTAGCTTATCACAGAATACCCCAAGCCCCGGCCCCGCAGGATGCCCACGGTGCTGTGCGACTCCTGATAAGGTTCAGAAAGTGGCTTGTGATAGCAGATGTCAACTCTGTTTTCCCCACCCCTCAAAGAGCCCACAAAAGCTTCTTATTGTCAACTACTGGTGACTCTAGAGGCTCCCAGCAAAGTCTAAAGCCTCCTGTAGAGCTGATAAAAATGAAAGTGGCTGAATGAATTATGCTGTGCTCTGAGGATGAATATTTATTAAATTCCATAGGGGAATAGCCAGCAGTAAAAAGCATCCCGCTGGCTGCAATTTGGAAATGGTGGCTTCCAGCAAACACTCCTAAGTGCAATTTTTAAACAATACTGAAGCTCTGGAATGCACACTCCTCCTTTAATGACTAAGTTCAGGCTCTGCAGCTACATCATTAAATTAATTGGGACTAAATGAGTAATTGTATAGAGTATGTATATTATAATATTCAAGAGGCAGGGAAGACAGCTTAGTGGCTGGGGAGACAGCTCAGTAGAATAAGCGCTTGCCTGGCAAACACAGGGTCCTGAGTTCAATCCCCAGTATGGAAAAAAAAAA